CTCCTCCTCCTCCTCACTCCTCCTCCTCCGGGTCGTTCCTCTCCTCCTCCTCCTTCCTCCTCCTCCTCCTCCTCTCCTCCTCCTCCTCCTCCTCCTCCTGGTCGTCGTCGTCGTCCTCCTCCTCCTCCTCCTCCTCCTCCTCTCCTCCTCCTGGTCGCCCTCCTGCTGCTGCTGGTCGTCCAGGAGATCCGCGCGGAGTTCCGAGAGTTTATCTTCATGCCCGCTTTTTTCGTCTGCGAAGCCTGCCGCCATCCTCCGACCCCATGCCTGCTCGGACCCCGCCCGCGAGGCCCGGGGGCGGCCTCTCGAAGCCTGCTCGGGGCCTCTGGGGGGGCCTCCTGGAGCTTCTGGGGGGCCTCTCGGGGGCCCGCTGGCCCGTCGCTATTGTCTCTGCCGCGTCGTCGTCGTCGTCGGCGTCGTCGGCGACGTCGTAGTCCTGGTCGTGGTCGTGGTCATGGTCGCGGTCGTGGTCGTCGTGGTCGTCGTGGTCGGCGTGGTCCTCGCCGTCGTCGTCGTCGTCGTCGTCGTCGTCGTCGTCGTCGTCGTCGTCGTCGTCGTCGTCGCCGCCTTCGCGTTCGCCCCCCGCCGTCCGCCGGAGGTCTGTTGACCATCAGCCGGTTGAACGCCTCTGCGGGCGGCGCCGCGGCCGACCCAGCGCAGGGCGCGCCCACGGGAGCCGCGCGGGGGGGCAGAGGGGGAACATGGAGGGGGGGAGGGGAAGGGGGGGGAGGAGGGAAGAGTGGGGGGAGGGGGAGGAGGGAAGAGGCGTGGGGGGGGGGGAGGGAAGAGTGGGGGGAGGGGGAGGAGTGGGGGGAGGGGGAGGAGGAAGAGTGGAAGAGGGGGAGGGCGATGGTGGTGGTGGTGGTGGTGGTGGTGGTGGCAGCGGCGGCGACACTGATGACGGTCATGACGGTGAAGGTGATGGTAGTTCTGCGGACGATGGCGATTGTGATGGTGCTGCTGCTGCTGCTGATGATGATGATGATGATGATTGTGGTGGTGATGATGGTGATGATGATGCTGCGATGGCAACGACGATGATGATGGTGAGGCTGATTATGATTATGATTACGGTTATGCTGATTATGATTATGATTATGACGATGCTGATGATGATGTTGATTTTGATAATGATTGTGATTATTCTGATTACGATGGTGATGATGACGGTGACGATGATGAGCAGGAGGTGATGACGATGACGACGATGATGATGGTGATGGTGATGATGATGCTGATGATGAAGATGATGAAGACGATGCTGATGATGATGATGACGATACCGATAGTGAGCATGATGTTGATGCGGGTGATGGCAATGATGCTGTTTATGTTGATGATGATGCTGATGATGATGGTGGTGGTGGTGACGATGCTGATTATGCTTATACTCATGATGATGACGACGGTGATGGTGGTGATGATGATGATGATAATGATGATGATGATGATGATGGTGAGGATGACGATGACGATGGCGATGATGATGATGATGCTGATGATGATGATGCTGATGATGATGATGATGATGATGATGATGATGATGATGATGATGATGATGATGATGATGATGATGGTGGTGCCGATGCTGATGCCGATGCTGATGCTGCTGCTGATGATGATGCCGAAGCTGATGATGATGATGATGCGCCTCCTGGTCGCGGAATTCTGGGTTGGCTGTGCGCGCGTGAGGCGGCCAACGCTAATTTCCGAGGGTGTCACCGTGGCGTCGGCCGCCCAGAGCATAACGATGAGGATGAGGATGGAGGGCGCTGGGTTGTTGCCGTCCTCCCCCCCCCCAGGAAAGCCAGAGCTTACATGGCCCATCCGCCAATACGCCCCGTCCTCGCGCGTGGGCGCCAGTCCTGGTCTTTGCCAGCATCGACGTCGTTCCGCGCCGCAGTAAGGCGCCCACGGCTGGGACGAGGGCTTCCGCCTCGCCTCGGCGCCTCGGCACAACAGGCCCGCCAGCCTGGGCACGTCTGACCCGACATGCGGGGAACAGCAAAGCTCGTCCTCCCGTGCCCCCTCCGCCTGGGCCCTGCAGCGCGGACTTGGCCCGGGCGCCGCGGGCTCGGGGGCACAACGGGCCCCCGCGGTTCAAAGGTCTGTTCTGTTGGCTCCTCTCAGCTTCGTCGCTCTCCTACTCGCTCGCGCCCTCACTGAAGCAGGTCGCAAAGGAAGAGTGCCAGGCTTGCTGCAGGCCTGGACGATTATGATTTCCCAGCTTCGCGCTGGAGGCCTCTAGAAGCTTCCACTCCAACAGTCCTCAAACAGGGGCCACAGGACAACAATACACCACACAAAGCACAAGAGAAACAAAGACCTGGGTAGAGCTTCTGAGATTGGCCTCTGTTCAGGAGGATCAGTCCGAAATCGCAGTCTTATATGTGGCGCTGCTTGCCTGTGATGCTTTCTGGGATGTCTGCCTCCAGCTGCGCACGGCGCAGAACATGAGTAGCAACAGTGAGGCAGTGGCGCAGCTTGGCCTGCCGTTGTGGAAAGGGCCCCGCTTGGACCAGGAGCTGCCGCACAGTGCAGCGCCCGCACGCCAGAGCGACCCTGCGCAGGAGCGGCCTCGGGTGCCAGACTCCCGGGGGCCGCGCAAGGGCCACCTCTCGGCGCGCAAGCTGACGCTGCTGGGGGCCCCCCGTGGGCCCGCGCCGGAGGTCGCTCCGGCGGAGGGCCGCTCCTCCCTGGCGGCGCACATAGGAGGAGGAGGAGGAGGAGGAGGAGGAGGAGGAGGGAGGAGAGGAGGAGGAGGAGGAGGAGGAGGAGGAGGAGGGGAGGAGGAGGAGGAGGAGGAGGAGGAAGGAGGAGGAGAGAGGAGGAGGAGGAGATGAGGAGGAGGAGGAGGAGGAGGAGGAGGGGAGGGGGCAAGGCTTCTCAGAGGGAGGCCGCTTCTGAGAAGGCGCGGGCCTCGCCCGCAGAGATGTGGAGCCGGGCCGGCGCCCTCTGAGGAGCAACCTTCTTCCACGAAGCGTTCCTCTTCTCCCCTCACTCCCTTCTGCGCGCCGCCAGCTTTCGTCGTCGTCGTCGTCGTCGTCGTCGTCGTCGTCGTCGTCGTCGTCGTCACCGTCGTTGTCGCCGTCGCCGTCGTGGTCGTGGTCGTGGTCGTGGTCGTGGTCGTGGTCCTTGGTCCTTGGTCGTGGTCGTGGTCGTGGTCGTGGTCGTGGTCGTCGTCGTCGTCGTGGTCGTGGTCGTCGTCGTCGTCGTCGTCGTCCCCCGAAGGCCCGTAGCCCCCCTTGTGCGCGCCGCCAACTCGCGCGCACCCGACCAGCGCGGGTCGCCCCTGCGAGGAGGCCCCCACGACGTGCACGCCTCTGGGCGAGGGGCGCCCGCCGACCAGGAACCCACCGCTCCCGAGGCGCGGGCTGTCGGGCCTATGGGGAGGCTCCCGTTCGAGCGGGGGTCCCTATCCGACAACACGCACCCGCAGCCTGGCCCGTCCCCCGACGCCACGCACTCGTAGCCCCGCCCATCCCCCTATATGGACATGTATGTATGTAGGTAGGTAGGTGGGTAGGTGGGTAGGTAGGTAGGTAGGTAGGTAGGTAGGTAGGTAGGTGGGTAGATAGGTAGGTCGGTGGGTAGCTCTGTGGGCGTGTGTATGTGTTGTTCGTTCGTCAGAACGCTCGCGTCGCGTGCAGGGACCGAGGGTGGGAAGGGACTGGGATCCAGAGGAGAACAGAGGGGAGGGGGCCAGGGGAGAACAGAGGACAGAGGACGGGGGGGCGGAGAACAGAGAACAGAGGGGAGAGGGGGGAGGTGGAGGGGAGGGGGGACAGAGGAGACGAGAAGGGGGAGGGGGGGAGGCAACGCGGCCGTTCTACTGGAGGCACTCGGAGGGAACACCGATCCTCGGCGGGCCTTCCGGACAACGCTCGCGTCGCGAAAAAAACACGACGGAAGGCTTTTGGCCGTGTTCGGCCTCTGGGGGGCCCTCGCTGGGCTCCGGGACCGCCAAGAAGCGACTCGGGACGAAAATCGGGCCCTGCGGAGAGGGTGCGAGCTTCTGGGGGCCCCGCACCGAAAAAATCAAGACATCGGATGTTTGGATTCGCCCTGCCCAAACAACAAAAACACCGCTTTGACGAAGAGGTCGTCGAGCGCAGAGGCCAGAATCCGGCGGCCGGTGGGTGGGCTCCCGAGGGTCAGTCGGGGCGATTATGCCTCGCCTCCGCATAGCAAGGACCACGCCAGGGCCTGGCCTCCAGGAGGCAAGCCCTTGCCTGGCCTCAGGAGCCAACTCCAGGGAGGTCTTCGTGGGAACGATGAAGAGCCCGCTTGATGGGGCCTCTAAGACGATTAAACCGGATTCGGGCCAATACTAGGCGGGGCAACGCGGGATTAAACTGGACTGCGTTGGACTCGACCTGATGAGACCCAAGGAAATGCCAGAGACGATGTTGAGTTCAACCTCCCAAGGTTTGCGATCTAAGTTGCGCAATGCCCACCATCAGATGTAGCAAGGATTCTGCCAGGGTGTTCTGCCAAGGCTAGTCCCAGGGGAATTCCGCCCTCTGCTGAGGGATGTCGTATACGAACACGGTGTGATCAGAGCTGCGCGACATGCACGGTCAGACTTGCATCGCTTGTGGTGCAAAGCCCGCCTTCGCCCCAGCGCTGTTGCATTCTTGGGTGATCTTCTGCTTGATCTGCTGGTAGGCGGCTTCGACCTGCCCTGCCCTCTTCGCGGTGCAGCTATTTGCACGGAGCAGCAAACTTGGAAACGAGAGAATTGAGCGAGCAACTTTGTCTCAACACAGATGTCTTACCATGTTTCGGCTTGATTCGTTGCAGCATCCTGCACGAACCACGCGCCTTCACATGATCTCTTGACGCTTGCAAATCATGAAAGAATTGACAACGTGCGCTCTCGAGACATTTGCGAGCACATCGCCAACCTTTGGGGCTAGCAGCCGCCTGAGGAACAGCCGATGAGATCGACAACCTCCAGACTATGGGGGACCTGAGTCGTGGAGGACATCACCGGCTCGATGGGGCGACACGAACGCCTGAGCACACCTGTAATCATAGAGGCCTCCTGGATGGGGTCGGAGTAGATGGGGTCGGAGGATCGCGCCGCATTGCCGATACATCGACTATACATCGCCGATGCATCGGCGACATCGGCGATGCATCGGCGACGCCAGCGTGGAGAAAGTCGGGCTCCATATCGAGCCGCATTGCTGATGCATAGTCGTGCAAGACGACCGGATGGCACGGACACAAGAGATCCCAAGCTGCTGCCCGTGGCGCCAGCTGGTCCTCTGCAGCAGGTGTTCGGATGGGACTGGCCCCGAGCACCTGCTCCTGCAGCCACGCACGCACGCACGCAGAGGGCCACTGGAGGCGAGCGCAACATCCAGACGCGTGCGCCGCGGGCGCAGAGCCTGAACGCCAGCCTGCTGCTATCTGCATCCCTGGGAACGGCGCAAGACCCTTGTGAGCCTGCTGTCAAGTGCGCTTGTCTCGCCGTGCACCTCTGCTTTGAACCCAGCTGCTGTCGTATTCCACTCTCCCTGGCAGGGGCCTCCTTGATCTTGTTGTGCTTGTTAGTCTTGCCATACTCTTTGCAGATCTTCTTGGCGTGCTCCTTCAGCTTGGGAAGGTCCGACTCCTCGCCAGACAGTTTGCAAATGCAGACGCGAGCGCAAGCTCACGCGTGCAGCATATGTGCGTGTACTGTGCACCACCAAGAAACATCCCCATCCACAGCGTGTGGAATCCTGGCCCAGAACCATGGGGAGCGGTGGATCTGGTTCTGGTTCACGCCTCAAGAGGCGGAAACATCACCCAAAGCGTCACTCATTGGGAATCTGGGGCGCTTCTCCGAGGCGGTGGATATGGATATTATGTGATCCAGGACCGAGGGTTCACGACTCACCCCCCCGATGCGATGGGCCCCAGGGCCCCACGGCCCCCCCCCCCCAGATGAGATAGAGGAGGGGCGACGACGAGACGACGACGACGACGCCGCCGCCGACGCCGACGCCGACGACGCAGACGCCGACGCAGACGCCGACGCCGACGCCGACGCCGACGCCGACGCCGACGCCGCCGCCACCGCCGCCGCCGCCGCCGACGCCGACGACGACAACGACGACGACGAAGACGACGAGCCACCCCACGCCCACAGACAGAGGGGGGAGCACTGGCACCCCCCACCGCTCCACGCCCATGTGAGGGGGGGGTCCACCACGCCACGCCCACGGGGGGGGGACCCATCGCGCAGGGGGGGTGGCCGACGGCATCAGCCTGAGTGGGTGTGGCCCGAGCCCTGGATCATGTATCCCTCCTCTCTGTCACATGGCCGATGGCCCACAACTGTTCGACACCCTCCGAAGATCTCCGAACAACCCAAGGACGGCTCCAAGATGGCACAAACGGGGGCCGGAACAGAGCCTCCAGAAAGTCCCCAACAGTGTTTGGAGCCCCTCCCAGGGCTCTCTCGGGGCCCGCTTGTGCTGCCTGGAGCCCCTCTTGCGCCGTCTTGGGCCCCGCCTGGACCTCTCGTGGCGCCCTGTTGGACGTTTTCTGGGGTTATTTTTGGGTGCGAGTTTGAGGGTACTTGTTGTGGCGTTTGTTGAGGTGTGAAATTGAGGGTACTTGTTGCGCCGCGTTGAAGACTCTGGGCGCCGCGAAGGCGAGCGTGCCGAACTCGTGCACACACCCACGGAGCATCTGTCGTGCTTGCCTACTCGGCACCTCCCTGCGCCCCCCTGGTCGTCGGGGAGGCCTGCGGCCCCACCTGGCCGCCGCCTCGGTTCGTCCTGAATCGTTTTTGACGGTCCCGAGGGACGGCGAGGGCCCCCAGGGGCCGAAAATGGCGAGAAACCTCCCGTCCTGATTTTTTAAACGGCGCGATGATGTCTGGGGGGGCCTCTCTTGGACCTCCTTGGGGTCTCTCGTGTGGGCTCTCCCGGGGCCGGTTCGGCCCCCCCCCCCCGGAGGCGGCCAGGACTCGGGCTGTCCCGGGGGCGGCCAGGGCTCGAGGCTGCCCGGGGGCGGCCAGGCCTCGTGCCGCCGCCTCCCGAGCTGTGGCGGGCCACTTCGCTGCCTGCGTCGGAGCCTGCTTGGCCTGGCGGGCGCGCCTTCCGCCGCCGCCACCACAAGCAGGAGGGGCAGAGGGAGAGGGGGGTCCGCCATGGTCCTCCTCCTCCGCCTCCTCCTCCTCCTCCTCCTCCTCCTGCACCTCGATCCTTCCCCCCACCCCAACTGATGGCGGTGGCGGCGGTGGGCAGCCGGCCCACCGCTGCCGTGCTGGCGCGGCTGCGAAGTGCGCAGACCGGTGCCGCGCACGTGCGCCGTCGCCCCGCCCGCGGAGCGCCGGCGGGGCTGCGGAGGCCGCGCCTCCGCCGCGGCCCGCGGCCCGCGGCCCCGCGCGACCCGCGACCCCTCGGCCGCAGCCGCAAGTGCAGGGGCCCACCCCGAGATCCAACGCATGGAAAAATCGAGGCGGAGGCTTTTCTCAAACTTCGGCCCCTAGGGGCCCTCGCCGGGCCTCGGGACCGTCACAGAACGACTCAGGATGAAAAACCGGTCCTGGGGAATGGGTCGAGACTTCCAGGGACCCTGTATTGAACAAATTGCGACATCGGATCTCTGGGTATGTGCAAGCCCTTGCGCGTCGTATCTGACTGGCTCGTGCCCGAGCGATCTCGCACTGTTCGGCGGGTGGAGCCGCGATCCCTCACTCCCCACCCGAAACCCGCGGGGGCCTTCTCATGACGGCTTGCCCGAGTGGGCGCACAGCTGTACGCGGGGCTTCTTCCCCCTTTTCTTCTCATGTCGCGCCTCGTGTTGTTTTATGCATTTTCATGTTGCGCGTCTCGCTTTTGACTCGACCAACATATTTTTAAACACAACACAGCACCCCAGAAACCGGGCGTCAGGCAGGAGGCCTTGTGAGGTCAAGCGCGCGTTATACACGCATTGCAACAACACAAATAAAAGAAAACAATGAACAAACTAGGCATCGGCCAGGTGAGCCACGGGCCGATCCCGACAAGAAGCTAGCAACAAGCTGCGCCCCAAGCGCATAAAAGACCTCGACCTTGAACACGCACCGACAAAGACGCCTCTGTTTGGGCAGGAACATCAGGCGCCCTGCGCGCCGCCGCTCCCAAGCGCCAGGCGCCCGACGCCGCCCGACTACTGTGCGATCGGCCGCCGGGCAAAGCGGGGGCGTGGCCGGAGGGGGGCTCCGCGCTGCGGGCTCCCAGGCCCCCGGCGTCGTGACTTTTTCACCGCGTCGGCCCCCAAAGGTCTGGCCACATCCATTCCCCGGGACCGGCTTCCCATCCTGCGTCGTTTTTCGGCGGCCCCGAAGCCGGGCAGGGGCCCCCGGGGACCAAACATAGCGAAGCGCCTCCCGTCGTGACTTTTTTCGCAGCGCGAGGGGGTCCGGGCTCTCGCCGTCGTCGCCGCTGTCGCCGCCCCGCGCCCTGCTGGCGACCCGCCCACCGAGGGGCCCGCCCCGCGACCCGTGGGCGACCCGCCCCGCGCCACCCGCACCGCCGCGCGCCCGCCGCGACCTGCACCGCCGCCGACGATCCCGCAGCCCCTCGCGGCACTCTTTGCGTCGGCGGCTACGCAGTGGTCGTCTGCGCTAGCGGAAGGGGCTATCCAAACGGGGGCACCGTTGTAGCGAATTGGCTAGCATGCAGGAGCGGGAAGATGGGGCAGAGCAGGCAGCCGCAGAGAGTGAGCGGGAGGTATGAGGCGACGGCCACTCAGGGGGGACGGATCACTTCCCTGGGTGCGTTGGCGCGGCTGCACGGTTTCCGCCGGGGCCGTAGGCGACACGAGGAGGAGGAGGAGGAGGAGGAGGAGGAGGAGGAGGAGGAGGAGGAGGAGGAGGAGGAGGAGGCGGAGGAGGAGAGGAGGAGGAGGAGGAGGAGGAGGAGATGGAGGGCGAGGAGGAGGAGGAGGAGGAGGAGGAGGAGGAGGAGGAGGAGGAGGAGGAGGCCGGGTCGCCCAAGCCCTTCGGAGAAGCCCTCAAGGCGCGGCCGGCCCCGCCGGCGGGGACCGAGGCGGCAGCCGCGCCGGCGTGCCTGCCGAGGCGGGGCCCGCCGCGGGAACTGCAAGAGTCAAAACGGCATGCCGCCGACGAAGCGCACGAGGTGCCAGGCCGGCGGGCCGCGCGCCGCCCGGGAGGGCGGGGCGCCCCTCGCGGCACACGCGCCCGGTGGCAGGGCCACGAGGTCGGCACACGTCCACGGCTCCTGGCCGGGCCCATCCTGGGCCCAGGAGCGGCGTGCACGCCCTTGGCGCAAGTTTTGTTTGTTTGTTTGTTGTGTTGTATGCTTTGTTGCTGTTTCTCTCTCTCTCTCTCTGTCTCTCTTTCTTTCTTTATCTATTTATTTCTTTATTTCTTTCTTTATTTGTTGTTTCTCTCTCTCTCTCTCTGTCTCTCTCTCTCTCTTTCTCTTTCTGTGTTTTTTGGTGTTTCTCTCTCTCTCTCTCTCTCTCTCTCCCTCTCTCTCTGTCTCTGTCTCTCTCTCTCTGCATTCATAACGCATCATCACAGCCAACACGCGACGGGGCCTCCACAGCGGCCCCGCAACGTGCAGCTGAGGCGCGCCTGGCCGACCGTGCAGCGCCTGGCCGGCAGACGAACTCATGGGCCAGCGGTCGCCGCGGCACACGTCCCCGCGGCCTCCACCCCCTCCTCCTCCTCCTCCTCCGCCTCCTCCGCCTCCTCCTCCTCCGCCTCCTCCTCCGCCTCCTCCTCCTCCTCCTCCTCCTCCTCCTCCTCTCCTCCTCCTCTTCCTCCTCTTTCTCCTCCGCCTCCTCCTCCTCCTCCTCCTCCACCTCCGCCTCCTCCTCTCCTACCTCCTCCTCCCTCCGCCTCCTCCTCCTCCTCCTCCCTCCTCCTCCTCCTCCTCCTCCTCCTCCTCCTCTCCTCTCCTCCTCCTCCTCCTCCTCCCCTACTCCTCCTCCTCCTCCTCCTCCTCCTCCTCCTCCTCCTCCGCCTCCTCCCGCGATCCCGATCAAATTAAGTCGATCCCGATCAAGTTGCGACAGCCAAGCCGAACGGTCAACGCACGTCGACGCAGCTCTCTGCTGGCAGCGGACCAGCGCCTCGTCCCTTGCGACGCACCTCTGCGGCACGCCCACGACCCGCCCTCGACCAGCCTGCGCCGAGGATGCAGTGCTGGCGACAGCGGCGGGCTGCTCCGTCTTGCGGTTCTTCCGCCAGGCGTGCTCTGTCTTGCGTGCGGGTCCTTCTTGCCCGCGAGACGTCCCGCAGGCTTCGGGAAGCCCCATCGACGATTACGGCGAGCTGATTTTCGTAATCAGTCACCGTGCTTTCTTGCACGTTGGGGAATGTTGGCATGCCAAATGCCGTCTGGTAGGAGTCGGCGGCGAACGAGGGGGAGAAGAGAGCAGGAGAAGGCCTTCTCAGAAGGTTCCGAAGTCCCCTGGCCTTCTGAGAAGTTTTCGAAGCCTTCCCCGAAAACAACCAAACACTCCTCAGAAGGCGCGAGGGCTTCTGAGAAGTCCCGCCGCCTTTTGAGAAGGTCATTTCCTTCTCACGTCCCCCCTCGCTCGCCACCGAAGGAAGCCTCCAACACGGCCCAGGAGGCCCCCAAGAATGCCCAGAGAGGCCCCCAAGACGGATCCCGAAGGCGCCAGACTGCCCCGGAGCGCCGCACGACGGCCCCAGGAGCCCCCAAGAGGCACCAAGTCGCTCCCACGAGGCCTCCAAGAGGTCCCCCAAAAACTCCCGACGAGGACGGGAGAGGAGGAAGGGTGGAAGACGACGACGAACACGAGGATAGACTCCTCCTCCTCCTCCTCCTCCTCCCCCTCCTCCTCCTCCTCCTCCTCCTCCTCCTCCTCCTCCTCCTCCTCCTCCTCCTCCTCCCTCCTCCTCCTCCTCCTCCTCCTCCTCCTGCTCCTCCTTCTCCTCTCTCCTCCTCCTCCTCCTCCCTCCTCCTCCTCCTCCTCCTCGTCCTCGTCCTCCTCCTCCTCTCCTCCTCTCCCTCCTCCTCCTCCTCCTCCTCCTCCTCCTCCTCCTCCTCCTCCTCCTCCTCCTCCTCCTCCTCCTCACGACACGACGCGGAAGAGCGTGTCACGTTGCACGGCTCGCCCCAGCCTCGGCACACGAAGCGCCACACGTCACGGACTTCTCCTGCGCGCTCCTCGCGCAGCTGCCACGCAGAGTGCTGGGCTGGCGCGGCGGCGGGGCTTGCCGCAGGCGGCTGGATAACCACTGCGGCCCGCGACCCTTCCGCGCCGCACTCGCACGCGCGCTGGCCTCCAGTGCATGAGCACTGTGATGAATGCCTGGCTCGGACGCGCGCCGGCACCAGTGCACTCGCACGCACGCCGGCACCGGCGCATGAGCACATCGGGGAGCGCCGGTCGGGCTTTGTTCTGATCGGGTGGTGGCTGGTCCCGCCCCCGGCGGGGCAGCCAGGGCACCCGCCCACTCTGACCTGCGACTGCGGGGCTCGCAACGCGTGCCAGGAGCCAGAAGCACACGTGGCCGGGTTCCCAGGCGGAGCGTCCGGAGGCCCCCCCGCGGGACGCACGCGTGCGGAAACCCAGTGTGCACCTGGCCTTGACGGCCCGAGGGCTGGACAGGCATCTGGCCATCTGCCTTTCGAGCTCTCGCCCAGGACGGCCGCGCGGTGCGCAGCCAAAGACGACTGACTAGCCTCGGAGAGGCTCAAAGAGGGCCTCGAAGAGGCAAGCTTGAAGGGTGCGTGGGCTCATCCCCACTCTGTGCGGACTGGCGTCCCTTCTGTGTATATCATCGGTGTCCTCTCACTTCCAATCTCACGACAACTCACCCACGAGTCGTGCAAGCGTCAATATTTTGGGCGCACGAACCTAACAGCATAGGCAAATATCAAGAGCCTGGCAGGGACACATCAGGGCACATGGGAATTACGCGGAGGGCGAATGCCCAATACAGCGAGTACACAATACTAAGGAGGTGACCCAGTTTGCCCAACAACCAGCAGCACACATCTCATGAGATCCTCAAACAAAGGTGATGCCGCGTGAACCGACCTGGCTCTATATGAAACACATGTGTCAGTCTTTGCGTCGCTTGACATTCGAGAGGCAAAAATGCTGTGCAGACATCATATACAATTATATATATTTACACACAGTAGTGAATGCGGCAGGCTGCACAGGCAACCCCAGCTAAGAAAAGCAGCAGAGAAAACTAACTCGCTGAAGCGGCATGATCGGAGCAAGCGCGGTGAAGCCAATATGCTCTCCTTGCGGTACTTGAGAGCACTGACCCTAAGCACCTCCCGCGAGGCCCCCCCATCCGGTCCGACCCCGGTGACTCTGCGGCTCTGCTCTACACCCCCCCCTGCAACTATGTAGCCCTAGCCTGAAGCGCCTCGCCTTCATCCTCGTCCTCGTTCCTCCGCCTGTGCACTGCTCGTGCTCCTACCCCTCCTCTTCCTCCTCCTCCTCCTCCTCCTCCTCCTCCTCCTCCTCCTCCTCCTCCTCCTACGTCTACCCCTCGTCCTCCTCCTGCTCCTCCTCGTGCTCCTCCTCCTCCTCCTCCTTTTCCTCCTCCTCCTCCTCCTTCTCCTCCTCTGCCTTCTCCTCGTCGTCCGACCTCCTCCTCGTGTTGGTTCTACTCCTCTTCCCCGTCCTCCTTGCCCTCCTCCTCCTCCTCCTCCTTCTCCTGCTCCTCCTTTCTCTGCTGTCGCCGTCCCTCCTCATCCCTCCCACGCCAAGCTGTTTTTAGCCCTGGTCGCATGCTCTATGTTAACGCCCTCCTGTCCAACTTACACCTGGCTGGATCCTTGGCCAGATCTGGACTCTCTCGGCATGGAGGGAGAAGGAGGACGAGCAGGAGGACAAGGATAATAATAAAGAACGTAAGGAGGGGAACCAGGGGTTGAGCGGCCGATCTAGCAGTGGACTTCACAGAGGTCTCGCATCGCTTCGCTGGTTGAGGTAACTTCATGTGGAATCAGTGCCAGGAGGGATTGTTGGACAACATGAAGCTGTTTGACCGGCGGCGATGAATACTGTCCACCGCTCCAAGACAAGGCGCATTGAAATCCCCTCTCACATGATCAACATGTTGTTTCGGGTTGTTCAGGTGTTCATGAATATTGTGCGACTTCTCGAGACATTGCGTAGTTCAGACTGATGCGTGCGGTGGGCCAAACGCATACTCCGACGAGCAGCTTGTGCCGACGCCATCCTTCGAGGCGAGAGGCCGCCATGACCGCAGAGCTCGGGAGGAAGCAGTCCGAAGGAACGCTGGACGCCATCTGAGTGCTGATCAGGCGGACCAAGACCGGACCCGCCAGGTGGCCCAGTGCGTCCCGCGACGTGGAGGAAGAGGGTGAGGAAGGATGTGGAGGAGGAGGAGGAGGAGGAGGAGGAGGAGGAGGAGGAGGAGGAGGAGGAGGAGGAGGAGGAGGAGGAGGAGGAGGAGGAGGAGGAGGAGGAGGAGGAGGGGCAGGGGGAGGGGGAGGGGGGCGTCCAAGAGGGGGGGGCGCAAAGCATGGCCGGCGGCATGCGCGCGGCCCAGGGGGGAGGGGGGAAGGGGGGCGGGAACGAAATTAACCAAATGAGAAGAGGCGCCATGAAATAATCAGAGGAAATAGCTCATGGCCCCCGCCATGGCATCCCCCCCCTCTCGTCATCACTCCCCTCCCTTGGCCGCCCCCGAACCGTGCGCGACGCCCCGGTTTTTTCAAGGCTCGGTCCCCGGAAGTCCCGACCCTGTTCCCGGGATCGGCTTTCCTCCCGAGTCGTCTTTCGACGGTCCTGGGGGCCTCCAGAGGCCGAAAACGGCAACAAGCCTCCGTCCTGAAATTTTGCACACGCGATCGTGGCTGGGATGCCCCCCTGCCCTGTGCCTCCGATGCGGTGCGCCGCCACCTCTGGAAGTGCACCTCACCAGACACTGCAGCTTCCGGCGAGGAGGGCCCCCGCGCAGAAAATGCGCCCCCCCCCCCCCCCCCCGCACACGGGCACCCCGGCCCATGGGCAGCTCCCGAGGGGCTTCCCCTCCTGCTCACCACTCCTCCTGCTCAGGTGGTTTGGCTGGGCTCCCTCCTGCTCACCACTCCTGCTCAGGGAAGGGGAACAAGGGATCGAGCAGGTGGGGCTTGGGCCCACCTCCTCTGCAACAGCCCCCCAACGGGGGCCAGGGATGGTGGCGCCGGGGGATCGCGCCCTATCGCCGCTGATGCACCAGCGACGTCGGGACGGAACATATATCGCGCGCCACATCGCGCCTGATCGTCGACGCATCGGCGATGCGGCGCGATCCTCCGACCCCACCTATGGCAAGTTCGTATCGTGGCGGCCTTGGCGTTGGATTCTAAAGCCACGCGGACCGCTCAGCCCCATGTGGGCGGCCTGGAGCAATGAACCCAGACATGCGACGTCTTGCTTTTTCCAATGCGCGCCCCCCAGAAGTCCCGACCCTTTCCCCAGGGTCAGTTTTCCATCCCGAGCAAGTTTTGGACGGTACCGGAACCCAGAGAGGGCCCCCAGATGCCGAACACGGCCGAAAGCCTTTCGTCGTCGTGATTGGTTCGCGACGCGAGCGTTGTCTGGGCATCGGCGTTTTCTGTTTTACGTCGTGATTTTTAACATCGTGCCCGGGCTAAACACTGTTCGTCGTGACCTTTGAACGTGGCGGGCATCTCTGGGAAGCCACCCCGACCTCCCACAGGCCGCCGCAGCAGACCCGGCCGTCGCGGCCCAGTCGACCGCACCCTGAGATCCGACGCTGCGCACAAGTCGCAACACCGCGAGCCACCGCCGCCGGAGCCTTCGACCCCTCCTCCTGCGGCACTTGCTCAGAGCCGACTCGATCCGTATCACGGACTCGGGGCCCGAAGCCGGGCGAACACGCCGTGTCACCCCCACATTGCGATGCCCCGATCTCAGGGCGCCCGCCGTCGCGGCCTGGTCACCCAGACAAGGCACCACGGCGCACGTGCGCCGAGGCGGGCGGCCCCGCTGCCGCCGTGCGCACACCCGCCTCCCCTTCCGGCCTGCACCTCCCGCGGCCTCCCGCGCGGAGGGTGCCGCGGCGAGGCGGCCGCGAGGCACCTGCCGCGCGGAAGGCGCGGAAGGAACAGGTCGAGGGTCAGCCACCGACGCCGTTCACGACCCAACCGTGGAGCTCCTCGAGCCCTTGGCTGCCGTGCTTGTGGGGCAGCCCTGCGCTCGGGCGTGGCGATTCCTTCATGCCGGGCGCGCTCGCCCCGCTTCCAGCCCCGGAGCGATCACAAGTCGATCCGGCTCGAACACGTGCAGGGACCCAGTCGTGGCTTCTTGCGATGCTGCAGCTCTGTCGCGACGTCGTACCTCAGGGACTGCCACGGGGGATCGCCATCAGGGGGATCGCCGCCTCCTCGAGGAAACGCCCCGCCCCCGAGCAAACAGCCAAGAACCTCCTCGCGCTTCGATCCCTGGACCTCGATGTCCAAGAGGAACATGTGGCCCCCTCCGGTGGTGGCCCCTCCTTGCGCCGGCCTCACCGCACTGGGGCCCCCCCTCCCCCTTACTTCCAGGCCACACCTCGGACCTCCAGCGACCGCCTGGGACGATGTGGTTCCAGCGCGTCGGGCCGAAGCGTGATGGGCCGAGGCTGGCGGCGCGACGCGCCAACCACGAGTTCCTAACGGTAATGTTGCGCCCGCCCGAGCCCATGCTCCCCCCACAGCTGCCTCCTGAGATCCGACGTTGCGGAAGAACTGCAGCATCTCCAAATCTCACGACCCGAGCCCTGGACACCACCTTTCTCTTGCGAGCGAGCTCGACCTGCGATGGCCCTGGGGCCCCATTTCCGAGCGCAGGCGCCCGATGAGTGAAAGAGCTGCCACGCCCGGATCTCAGAGCGGCGCGCGATCCTTCGACATGTCCTCTGATGACTCCAACCCAGAGATCCGACGTCGTGATTTTTTCCCATGCGCGGTCCCCAGAAGACTCGACCCATCCCCCAGGACCGGATCTTCATCCCGAGTCGTCTCCTGACGCTCCCGAGGCCCGGCGAGGACCACAGGAGGCCGCAATCGGCGAAAAACCCTGATTTGTTTCCAAGGCGCTGGACCTCTGGGAGTGCTGCCCCCGCCGCCCCGCCGCGAAGGGGTCCATCCCTGCGCGCGCGCATGCCCCGGCAGCGGGCGAGCTGCAGCCTCGCTCGAGCAGCGGCGGCGGCGGCGGGGCGCCCGCGCCTGAAGAGGAGGACGAAGGGAGGAGGAGGAGGAGGAGGAGGAGGAGGAGGAGGAGGAGGAGGAGGAGGAGGAGGAGGAGGAGGAGGAGGAGGGGGAGGAGGAGGAGGGGGAGGCGGGACGCTTGCGCGGCACGCCGCCCACGGGGCCCGGAGATCCAGGCATCTTGCGTTGTGGCGGCGCATCGGCGATGCCTCGGCGACGTCAGCGCGGAGAGAGCCGGGTCAGCGGCGGGGCATCGGCCATGCGGCGCGGTCCTCCAGCCTCATCTGCTCTCTTCGGGCCCATCCCCAGAGATCCAGGGCACTGAAAAAATCAAGACGGAGGTTTTTCGCCGATTTCGGCATCTAGAGGCCCTCGCCAGGCCTCGGGACCGTCAAGAAACGACTCAGGATGCAAAACCGGTCCTGGGGAATGGGTCGAGACTTCGGGGGACCGCGTGTTGAAAAAAATCACGACATCGGATCTCTGGGTCTGGGAGGGCTCGATTTGCTCCTGCGTTGCGCTGTCGGGTTCCGAGAACTAGTGGTGCAGTCAAGACGAACACGGAAGAATCCCGCAAAGGGGGCATCCGGCAACCGTGTCACTTCCACAATTTGCGTTCGATGCCAGCTACACTGTTGGTACGGACGGACACGATCCCTTGTCAAACAAGCGCGCTGCGGTGCACATGGCTGTGCTCTCACCCCTATCCTGTATTACCGACCTTCGACTCCTCGACCCGCCTCATCACCTTTGCTGCTATTGGGTCGCCCTTGCTGGCGTAATCTTCGCACCGGGCATTGTCGCCTGGTTTCGGGCCTCGGGGCCGTCGCATGTCGATCCGGCTCTCTCGACACACACACACACACGCACACACACACACACACACACACACGCACACACACGCACACAC